AATTTGCTATGGGATTAAAATGAGCCGGTGTCATCAAACCAGTGTGCAAGGAATATGGTCTGATGGTTGTATGTCCAGGAGATGATAGTACATATGTAAAGGAGATAAAAGGTTGTTATGGTAATAAAGGTGCAGAATTAACCTGACAAAAGAGTCAACGCATAGAAATATTATATAATAAGCAGCAATGGGATTTATTTGAAATGCAAATAGAAGGAAACAATGAGTCAGAAATGACTTCTGGGTCACAGGATGCAGAGAGGCCACAGAGGTGCAGTGAGGAAAAAGAAGGTTCATTTTTTACAAGATGAAAATGAAAGTTCTTGGGATGACATCTGGAAGTTAAGCAAGCGAGACATCCTGTGATAGATGTCTGGGCAGAGAGGCAATTTGGGAAGGGGAACGTGTATCTGGTCAGTGAAAAACCAATAGCTGGAGCCAGAATGCGTAACAAGATCACAAAAAGTGAAGGTCTTGTTGATGACACATATGTCAAAAATATCATAGCTTTAGTGACTGTTTCAGATGTTTAAGTTTTAAGCCAATTATATGTTTTGCTCATATTTGCTGTTTTAAAACAAAGAAAAAAATAGAATCAGTAATCTCATCTACATTTAATAATCCTTTATTTTGAATGCTATCACTGATCAGCAAGCAAACTATTTTTTCTTGTTCCTGATATCCTATAATTATCTCTGGTAAGAAAGAATACAGCTTTGGGTCTATGTTGTTATTTTAGGCTATGTTCCTGATAGAATAAAGATCCCTATGCTAAATTACAAACCACATTCCCATAATGCTTGGTTTCTTATGCTCAGAGCACAGCTAAATTGCGTGTGACCTTTGGATTAGATAACTTTCAGAAACTGCGGAGTAAGATTTTTCATCTGTATCAGAACTTGGATCTGTGTTGAATGTTCTGCACTTTTGATGCTTCCTCTTTCATGAATCTCAGACAAATATAATTTGGTTTGCATGCTAGAATCGTGGTATTTTTAGATGAGCAGAAGGAGATTAGATAATGCTGGATAGCAGGATTTTAAAATAAGTTCTGCAAAGTACAAATTTCACAATCTAAAATAGCATCCAGAGTTGCTCTCCATCCTCTGTCACTGGAATATTAAGCTAACCAGATATTGGGTAAACCATAGTCACGTTATTGATTATCTGCGGTCTTCTTACATTAATCAGAAAGAAAAAGAGCTGATTTTTGAGTGAGGCTTCAGATTTCTATTGATGTTGTACTGGTCAGGAATTTAACAAAGAATGTTTCTATTGTCCTTAACAAAGAAAAAGTAAATTATAATAAGCAAAAAATAGTTAAGAGTAACTGGATACCCTTTTATTATTATTATATTTAAGAAGTGTTGACTGGATTTCCTGTTACTCTCTGCTTTTTATTAAAAAAAAAAACCATCATGGAGTGTCATGGCTAAATGTTGCCTGACTTCAAAGGTAAATGATACGTAGCCAGGACTATCAGCAAATACCACAGGGAGCCGTTCCCCTCATCTAGCTCTACCCATCCAAAGCTGTGAGTCCAGCCTTTGGGCTCCTTTGTGGTTATCAGAGCCAACCCCACTGCTCTGCTCTTCTCAGCCCTTGGTCCTGAAGTGCTCTTTCAGATCTGCTGAGGTTAGAGGGAGACCAGGAAGCTGGCATCCAAATTCAATGCATGATCAATGAGCAAGGTCCCTGGCAGGGAAATGTACTTAAGCATTTTCTTTATATTTCCATCACCACCGCCCATAAGGAAAATTATGCAATGGCCACAGTAACCTCACCTTGAAACTTCTCAGATGCTCAGGCATATCTACAAAGTAAAACGCCATCTAGCAGATTGGTGTGTTCCTATGGAGCTGTCTGCACAAGAAGTGCTTGTTACCTGTAAACACCAAATCCAGCTCAGAAGCTAAGTCCTCTGTCTTGATAGTTTTTTTATTGCTTTAATAGTTTTATGACCATAATTAACTCAGTGTTTGATGAGGGGGATATGGCTGTAGTTATATACTCTTTGTGAGGCAATGATCTGAACAGCTGAGGCACCACATTTTGATTAGTAGTGACAGATATTGCTCCTTTAATTTGAAAACTGCAAGGTTATTCTTACTTTTCACCCACACAAAACAAACCTTTTGAGCATCTCAGATCTTCCTCACATCCATACATTTTTGCAGCTACTGATCCCATCAAAAAAGGAGCAATTCAGCGTCCTGAACAAAATTTCTTTGAACTGTTTTCATTAATTCAGTAGTTGCTCACCTTTGAGGACCTGACCATGTAATGAATAAACAGCAGCTATTTTCAAAATGAAGGGTTTTCTTTGAACTACTGTGGTCACCAGAAATGGCCTTAGTTCTTTATTCTTTTAAATTCCCTTGTATTTAGCTGAAACTAAATATATTAGATGGTAGCTAGACGGAAAGCTTTAAACATCAGTTCTGTGATCAGCTATTAAAGCAGTCCAATTTCAGCTGTGTTCAAACACTGCTTTTCTGTCTTGTCTGGGAAGTGCCTGCCAATTCATTTTTCTACTCTTATCAGCAAAGCCCATATACTGTGCTCATGTTTCTTAATATAAAACACAGGGAAAATGCTCAAGCTGTCAGGAGGTCTGTTAGCTTAAATACAGCCCACATCTTTGCTCTCATCCCATTACATACTTTCATTTGTTCTCAACTGAAAAAAATCCGATCTACCTCCCCATGATCTTGCAAAGTGTCAATCATCTGAATTTGTCAGATTTTTATGAAAGGCTTCTTTAAGTCAAGAATTTTATCATGGGTTCAGCGTCATCAGCTGTACTGGATTTTAAAAGTATGTTTTCTTAAAAAAAGCATCTTTGGATATGCAGTGTATTTTCAGCTGTGCAATAATCACAGCAGCCTGATTGGATTCAGTTCCTCTGTGTTTTGGATGTCAGTGTAGTACAGTGAATTGTCCTGGTGTCCATCAGGATTTATTGCATATATTGAGGCAGTCAATGTTTGAAATAAATTCAAATCCATTATAACCTTGTTGCTTTAGAAAGAAAAAAAAAAAAAGAAAAACAAACAACTCCATGTCTTTGCAGTTCTAACAGGGAAAAGTGATTATATCTTTCCAACACATTAATGTCTGTACCTTGCTTAGGCACAGTCCTTCCTCTCAGTATTACATAGGTTAAACATAAATTTTATCACAAAAGGGAAGACAAAATAATAGACTGTGTTCAGTGCTTATCACTTCCATTACATCCCATGGCCTTCCTACCCTCCAGGCATTAATGGTAGAGAACAAACAGTATCATCCTGAAGGCTTTCCACCTGCCTGCCCTTCCCCACTCGCTCTGCACAGCATCCCTGGCTAACCTTTGGCGAGTCATTCACACTTACTTTTGAGGACTTTCTAGTTTTGTTGAAATTGCTAATACTTTGTTGATTTGCCTCTTATTCCCTCTCCTTCCTGAAACCATCTCAATTCTTGTATGGTGTTGCAACATCAAAGTACAGAAAGTACTTTGCAAAAAAATTAAATTATTAATTGAGTAACAGTATGATCTCTTTGGGATCATGTTATTCAAGGCAGGAGTGTGGGTGTTTCTGTGGTTGAGTGCTTTTTACCTTATTTAGGTACCACTCCCCACTTGACCAGTGGCTTTGGCAGGTCATAGTCTCTTCTCTCCATCTTGTGAACAAGCAAGACAAATCTAGCTGATCTAGCAGTCACTTAGCATGAGTCACTACAGCCAGCCTAGAGGTGAGATGTATGCCTATCAACAGCAAATTAATGAAACAAAACAGAGGATTTCCTCCTCTCAACCTGCGCCACCATGCTAGTGGAGATATGAGCCTCAACCTCCAATGGTGGATTCACAAAGCATGCCCCTGCAAACCGCCATCCTCTTCAGCTTTTTCTAGTTCATGGTTTACATACTTCAACTGTCACAGAAGATTAGATAGAACACAACATTATGGCTGTTTTGCAGATAACCACGAGACCATTTTCAGGGAATCATAGATTCATACAATATCACGTGTTGGAAGGCAGCTCTGGGGCTCATCTAGCCCAATCTCCCAGTCAAAGCAGGGAGAATTTTGAAGTTAGATGAGGTTGCTCAGGGCCTTGTCCTGTTAATTTTGACTATCTGTCTCCAAGGTTTCTGCAACCTCTCTGGGCAACCTGCTCCAGTGTGTAATCACTCTCAGTATTTTCTTCCATATACCCAAATAGGATTTATTTTGTTGCAGTTTGTGCTCTTTGCCTCTTTTTCATCTTTATAACCTACAACCCTCTTTTATAGGGGTCTCAGGGTGATCGTGCCTAGATCAACTTTTTTTAGAAGCCTCTTATATGATGTATACTTCCCTAGGAAATACTTTTTGTTTTGTTGGAGTTTTTTCATATTATTCACAATAAATTATCAAGAAAGTTTTTAAATTGAAGCAGAGATTTTTAACATAAGCCTACAAAAGTCAGACTTCAGGGAAACTCGATGGGATCTGGCACATATTTTGTGCAAGCTCCATTCATATCCTTCTGCCTCCCACAGGCCTTTCATTTTTAGACCAATTCTAATGATATGTGCTTCAGAAATTTCAAATTGCATTAAAAAATGTTCTTTGTTCTTCAGAGCAGAAATATACAAGTAAAAGAAGGGGCAGAGCAATTCAAACTGTATGAATTCAAACAATTCAAATGTATGGAACTGCAAAGACAAGCCAAAGGAAACATGCTTGATAATCCTCGTGCAAAAGAGCAACTCTGGACATGGTTAGGGAACTGCACAATATAAAGATACCTGATGTAGGAAATAATCCAATTTGTCAAAGCTCCAGGACAAATAGTACAGCAGGATGTCATGAAATGGAAAGAAAAAGCTGGAAGTAAAACAAAAATGTGTCAAATTTGATTCTGGTCAGGGCCACTAAGGGTCATTGGTGCCCTTAAGACTCCAGCACTCTCATCCTCAAATCTCTAACAGCGTTTTCTAATCAATGCATTTCTGTTGATATTCCCAGGTGCTGAAATTCGTCCCTGAGGTTGAGCATCACAAAAGAAAAGGCAGAACTGGGAACAAGGCCTTGGTAGATATACAACTGGATCACCATGAGCGCTGTGATTGTATCTGCAGTTCAAGACCACCCCGATAAAAAATAAATAAATAAATAGAAGAAAAAAATCCAAGACACTCTAATTGCAGCTTACCAGACATTTACTTTTAAGCAGGATTGCTCTGAGGACCTTTACTCACTAATCATTTGAACTTTGCTACTAGCCAGCCTTTGCAATTAGCAAAAATGATTGCTGTGTATCAGCATAGCTGTGCCGAATACTGCTATGACAGCTAAACAGGTATGTAATAGATGTATGTATCAGCATCCAAGAATATAGGGTTATGGTTATCTGTAGCTAGATTCTGAGGGTTGAGATTTTCAAAGCTCACTTATAGTCCTTAGGCACACAATTCCTGCT